TAGAAGGCACATGTTGGGAAATGTCACAATTTTGTTTTCCTTTACAGTAATATAAAGACTGCATTCTTAAAAACTCCCCAAAGGAGAACCCATTAGCATTGACAGATACTTTAGTATATGATTTGGGAAAATTTTATAGTATGATAAAAGGAACTATAGCTGTATCATTTTTCATAAATAAATCATTATAGATGTTGCTGCCAAGTGTGGGTAGATATTCTTGAAGATCTTGGATAAGAAGTAGTACTTCTTTGGGAACTGTAGTGAACATTTTAGCTGAATGTGTGATTAATCCTTTTCAACCAGAACAAAGAAATGCATGATTTTTTGCATTTTGTGATATAACTAATATTTTAGATGCAGAAACCAGACTCTAAGTAAAATTGGTTTAGGAAAATCCTAATCCTCTCCCTTTCCTTTTACTTTGCTTTCCTCTTCCTCCTCTTCCTTCTTCTTCCTCATTCCTGTGCTTCCTTCTCTTTCATCTCATCTTCCTCTTTTCTCCTCCTTCCTCCTTATCCTCCATCTCCTTCTCTTTCACCACCTCCTCCTTGTCCTTCATTACCTCCTCCTCCTTCCTCACCACCTCCTCCTCCTCCTCCTCCTCCTCCTCCTCCACTCCTCCTCCTCCTCCTTCACCACCTCCTCCTCTCCTCCTTCACCACCTCCTCCTTCACCACCTCCTACTGCTCTTCACCACCTCCTCCTCCTTCACACACCTCCTCACCACCTCCTCCTCCTCCTTCACCACCTCCTCCTCCTCCTCCTCCTCTTTCACTCCCTCCTCCTCCCTCCCTCCTCCTCCTCCTCCTCCTCCTCCTCCTCCTCCTCCTCCTCCTCCTCCTTCCCACTCCTCCTCCTCTTTCACACCATCCTTCATCACCACATCCTCTTTCACCACCTCCTCCTTCTCCTTCTCCTCCTTCACCACCTTCTTCTGCTTCTCCTTCTCCTTCTCCTTCTCCTTCTCCTTCTCCTTCTCCTTCTCCTTCTTCACCACCTCCTTCCCCTCCTCTTCCTTCACCTCCACCTCCTCTTCACCACCACCTCCTCCTCTTCCTTCACCACCACCCTCCTTCTCATCCTCCTCTTCTTCTCCTCCTCCTCCTCCTCCTCTCTCCTCCTCCTCCTCCTCCTCCTCCTCCTCCTCCTCCTCCTCCTCCTCCTCCTCCTCTTTCCTATCTCCTCCTCCTCCTCCTCCTCCTCCCCCTTCTCCTCCTCCACTTCTCCTTCTCCTCTTTCTCCTCCTCCTCCTCCCCTTCTCCTCCTCCTCCTCCAGTTTCTGCTCCTCCTCCTCCTCCTCCTCCTCCTCCTCCTCCTCCTCCTCCTCCTCCTGCACCACTTCTCTTCCTCCCCCTCCACCAACTCCTCTTCCTCCTCCTCCTCCTCCTCTAGTTCACCTCATCACTGTCCTCATTATGTCTCCTTTCTTTAATTTTCACCATCATATCTGAAATTTCTGCAACACCATTATAAGCCATGTTATCTGCCCCCAAATTCAAGTGACTTCTGATTCCCTTGCAGAGAGCAACAGCGTCAGTTGAGCTCATGGCACCCACGGGACACAAGAATTGAGGAAGGGAGAGTCAATAACCCAGAGCAGCGGTTGCTCCTCGTTCCACCCCCTGCCTGGCCATGTCCCTCTCCCAGTCGGTCTCTCATGGGGGGGGCATTAGGGAGCAAGAAAAAGGAGTATTCAGAGAGACGCATCCTTGGGTGAGTCACTCTAGAAATATGCTGGTTACTTTCTTCTTAGTTGGTGAAAGAAGGATCTGTATGTGTATGTGATGAAAGTTCGACTGTTTGATTTTACTGAAACACAAAGATATTATTACTGGGATTATTGTCAATGTCAGAAAGTGTTTGGAATATAAAGATATTATAATACTGGGTTTATATTCATTGTAAGAAAGTGTTTGGAATATAACCAGCTATTGATGAAGCTTGATTATTTAAGTTTCTTATTGATTTTTGCTCTATGAGATTAGTCTTTCAGGTGGTTATTCTGCAGTTATAAAGGGAATTAAAGATAACCTATTGGTGAAAAAAGGGAGGAAGAGCAGGGAATATGATTTTCCTGATTATCTTATAGGTGGGTGGGTAGGCAGCAACCGGGTAGGGAGAGAAGGAGAATGTGTGTGTGTATATAGATTAGATTAGAAATATATCTGGTCTTCCTCTTATTTCTTATTATATGATTAAGATGGTCTTGTGTAAACTATATTTTATATTGATTACTATTGCATTTGATTTTTTGCAGTTATTCCATGAATCAAATGTATGATGTGGTCTCAGAGGTCGAAAACTACTACAAATTTGTTCCTTACTGTAAGAAATCTGATGTGAAGTTGCGCCGGCCTGGATTTCTAAAGGTGAACCTCAGATGGTTTTGTAGTTTTAGATCAGAAAGAGGGAGGAATTTCTAAAAGGTTATCACTTGTGTTAAGTAAATCTGTTTTTTAGTACATTCTCAATGCAGCTCAGTATTCAGTGCAACATTAACCCTGAAAAAATGATATGTGGTATTTGTAGTAATTAAGTATGACTTGTCAAGGGTAAAACATAGCAAAAGTTATTATATTTTACCATTTTTTGTAAGTATATGAGTCTTACCCTCTATTAAAAAAGCATTTTAATACTCAGTTCTCTGTGATATGCTGGTCAAAAGACTGCATTAGTAAGTTTATTTGTTAATTTTTCCATTTCTGCAGTACACATATTTGGGTTCATATTTTTCCATTTTTGTTGTACACATTTTTGGGTCCATTTTTTCCACCATTTATGGTTTAATGATGTACATTTCATTATATTTATAATTATCTTATGATTTTTTTCCCTAATTTAGTTGTCAATATATATTAATCCATAGAAGTTAAATTTAATAGAAGATACATTTTTAATTGTATAAATATAAAAGATGAATATAGTGTATGTATATATTTTTCATAACCTGGAAAAAGATACATCTCAGTGTATTCAGCATTAGTATACTGCTCTTCCATTTTACTTTTATTAGTATTTTTACAATATATTTGTCTCATCCCTCCCCCAAAATTCTAAATAAAACCTAAATTTAGGGAAGGGAAGTAGATGTAGTTGATAGTTTGTCAGTTTTCTAGACTTCCTAATGAAAATATAGAGTAAGAGGCATTCAAGAGAAGGTGGTGTTAGTAGAGAGACCTAAATGGATTTTATATATTGTGTTCATTATATAGTTTTATTTATTTGCACATTTTAGAAGAATGGTATATGAATTAGATAAATAGGTATGTATAATTATTTTGTTATTTTTATGTAATGTATATCCTCTGGCCATTTTTCCTGATGGACATAAATTATCATCTCACTTGTTTATTTTTAAGATAATTGCTTTGAAGAGAAGAAAAATGACAAAATCTTAAAGCAATGTCTCACCTTTCTTAGGCAGACCTGACAGTTGGATTCCCACCTGTTGTGGAATCATACACGTCCAGTGTTACATTAGCACGGCCCCACCTTGTCCGAGCAGTTTGCACAGAGGGAAAACTTTTTAACCATCTCCTTACTATCTGGAAATTTTCTCCTGGTCTTCAGGGACAGGTAAGGTTTATGTTTTGTTGATTTATTCTTTTACTTTCTTTTTAAATTATGTTGCTTAGCGAGTGGAGATTTGGTATCCATGTGACTGGGCTAGGAGAGTGAGAGAGGAGAGTAGAGAGGAGAGTAGAGTGAGAGAGGAGAGTAGAGTGAGAGAGGAGAGTAGAGTGAGAGAGGAGAGTAGAGTGAGAGAGGAGAGTAGAGTGAGAGAGGTAGAGTGAGAGAGAGAGTAGAGTGAGAGAGTAGAGTGAGAGAGGAGAGAGAGTGAGAGAGGAGAGTAGAGTGAGAGAGGAGAGTAGAGAGGAGAGGAGAGAGAGAGAGAGAGAGTAGAGAGAGAGAGAGAGAGAGTGAGAGAGGGAGAGTTGAAAGAGAGTGAGGGTAGAGAGAGAGAGTAGAGGGAGAGAGAGAGGGAGAGTTGAAAGAGAGTGAGGGTAGAGAGAGAGAGTGAGTGAGTGAGTGAGTGAGTGAGTGAGTGAAGAATGATTGCAGACACTTTCAGATCATTTCCTTTGAGAGAATTGTACTCAGTTTCCTTGTCAAGGAGAAAACCCATTAATCAGATCAGTGACAACTGATAACAGGTTAGCAGGTTAGTAATTATTGCTGTTTGAAAGACAAACAGACAATTTGCTCTTAGCTAGTCAACACCAATTGTATTTTGGTTTCAGTAGAATAAAACTGTTTTGAAGTTGTAAGTTGCAAATAATGTTGGTTGTTTTGATTTACTCATTTTACCTCAAGATATTTTCTCTATATATTATAAATTCAATTCATGTTGGGATTGCTTTTCAGGGTAAATTCTCCCTCTGAGAGATACTTCTGTGTACCTTAATATTATAGGGATATGGAATTGCATGCATCTGAATTACTTTAATGTGGTTTTCTTAAGTTTGCTAATAGAATATGAAGTCAAAGAGAGCACTAAGATTTTTGGGCAAAATGTGGAAAGGCTGTTACATAGTCTTTGTCTTTTGTTTTGTTGTATAAGCCACTGTCGCCTGCAGCTGTTCTTTCAGCTAATTTACTTCATTATAGGGCAGAGGAGAGGTGTGTGTATTACCAGATGATAGTTTTACTTGATCTCAAAACAATTGGGATCAGGGGAACCAAATTGAGTTAGTGGTCCCAATGTATTATTACATATGTGAGGAAACTATGCTATGGTTACATTCCATCTAGATAGTCTTTCTAGTACATATGCTTTTTCCATATGGCTTGAAATATGACTGTAGATCAGCTTATAAATGCTGCAAAGAATATTTTTATAACATAAATCAGTGCATTTGGGTAATATAAGATGGTTTACAGGGAAGAATATAGAGAAAAGATTAATAAAAATGTGTATATGTAGGCCTTATTGAGTACATGCACAAGCAAAGTATACCTTATATTGAGACCTGTAAGTGGTATGTGATAATTTATACACTGATTAGCGTATGGACCAGATATCAAGTTTGTGCATCAAAAAATGAAAGAATGACAAGTATCTTGTCTGAGCAGGAGTGCAGTGTCTGGCTCTACCTTCACATTATTTTTAGATATCAGTTCATAATATCCAAGCAATGTTTTGTACCCTATAGAAATTGATTGGACTGGAAAATAAGTCCTAATAGTATATTGATATGATAACAAACTAAAAAGAAAAACATGCATACCTTTGGTAGATGGTAAAAATAAATGGGAGGGTGTTGTAGGCACAGAGGAAAGTTGAGGGTATCAAGTAAGTTGAGCCTTATGGCCTTATGCAGAAGTAATTGTATGGCAGATTATGTAGTTGTGGAAATTTTTCATTATCTTTGATCTCTTTGGTGGTGGTGTATATTAATAGTTAATCCTGTCTGAGTAAAATGATGAGTAATGGAAAGGGCAATGTCTGGCATTCGTTTTAATTTATAAGATCTAGGGATCAAATATGGAAAATTATTAGGAAATTTTGTAGGCATTTGCAACTTCTCAGACTTTTCAAATTTTATCTGGTATCAAAAACTTTCCATTTCCCCATGAAAGAACTTCAAAATGAATAGACAACTATATATCAGATCTTGAAAATTATTTTTGGCAAATTAATTGCAACCAAAAGATGTATTTGTATTATATTTGACATGCATTAATTCGTTAACAAAAATGAATTTAAGAAAATTGGATCATTAATTACCCTTGTGTGACTTAAAGGTTTTCTCACCAAAAGTAAAATGGGAAACAGATAATAACTGTAGGACTTGAGAATTTTAGAAAAAACTTCCCCCTCCCCCCCTTAAGGTCAAATATGAAACCAAAAGACTTGTAGTATAAACTTCTTCCATCCTGCCTGACAAGATTCTTAGAATTTTTGTCTGTAAATTAACAAAATCACAAATAATTATGAATTTTAAGGGAATTCCACTTGATAATGTACCAAGCAAAGTGAAAAAGGTTTTTTGATTGGCTGTACATTGAACTTTTTTTCTGATTTTTTTTTTTTTTTTTTTTTTTTTTTTTTTTTTTTTTTTTAATTATTCGTATACTTAGTTCATTATTCTTGTATTTCAATAATTGCACTTTTGATTGTTTTTTTTAAATTATTTAATAGATTATTTAATCCATTCCAGCCAAACACCTGCACCCTAGACTTCTCCGTCTCGTTTGAGTTCCGCTCCATGCTCCACTCCCAACTGGCGCATGTTTTCTTTAATGAGGTGGTGAGGAAAAATGTAAACTCCTTTCTGGCTGAAGCCCAAAAACGTTATGGGAAGCAGTCCATCCGAGCCCAGCAGCCACGCATCACACAAATGACATGAGGATAGTAATTTTAGGAAACTTAGGGAAAAGAAGAGTAAAGGAGAGTTGTTTATTATTAGCTGCTCACCAATAAGTCATTATAAAAATTTTATTTTTATTATTGTATATGTATATTTTTTTTCTTTATATTCCAGTTAAATAATCCATGTAATATCTGAATGATGGAAAGAGTATTATATAAGGAACTTGTTATTTTCTTGAGGATTTTAAAGATGCTATAATTTTAATATTAGATTTTGTATGCAAACATATTAATATGTATGTAAACTTGATCTACTCATAATTAAAGCAACCAATATTCAAACAGTTTTTTATTTGTGATCTTGTAAATGAAGATTGTAGAAGAAACCTGTAGATACATTGAACTTTCATCTGAAAGTCCAAATACTTGAAAACTAGAATTTTGGACAAAATATAGTTAACTAATTTTTTTTTTCTTTCTTTCTTTTCTTTTATGATGTTCGTACAAAATCTGTTATATTTATATATATTCCTTCTAGTCATAATAACTTGTGGGATTTCTGTAGAATAAATAGATATTATCATTACTGGTGTGATGATCTGCATGCCATATTTTGACGTATTACTAGATATTGTTAATATTTGATGGTAAACAAGCTCTTTACTTCTTTTGTTTGAATTACCATTGATGTTATTGTATTATATTCATTACTGTATTTGTTATCTTAGGAGTCCGGTTATTATTGTGCAATTATTATCGTTATTTTCATCAGTATGATTGGTATTATTATGATTATTATTATTACTACTAATCATTATTGTCATCATATTATTGATATTATGATTATTATTATTATCATGGTATTATTATTGTGGTTATGACTATTATCTTTTTTTTTTTCATAAATATTATTACTGTTATTTTGGTTGATATTGCGGACTTTCAAATACTTTCTGAATGGCCATGTACATACTGTATGTAAATTTGAAATAAGAGCCGTAACAAGTTTTCGTACACTTTTACTGTAGATTCCCTAAAGCTTGCTTGCAGTCTGCTAAACAACAGGTGTTGCAGTAAGTAAATAAACAAATGTTTAGTGTCATGAAATTATTTTCATATTTTTGAGAGCTGCTGATCAGTAGAAACTATTGAAACCAGTTTCAAACGGATATTCACTAATTTCC